GCAGGCTTCCCGCTGAGAAGCCCGATGTGGGGCTCAATCCCAGGACCCTGGGATCATGACCTGAGCCGAAGGCAGACGCTTAATGACTGAGCCACCCAGGCGCCCCGGTTCTTTGAATCTTTTTATGTATCCCTATGAGCTTAGAACTGGACATACTCTAATGACAAAAGGTGGAAGTGTTCTCATTTACTCTAAAAAGTCCAAGGAAGGCAGGTTTAACTTCTTGAGCCCATTAAAACTCTTACTTGAAGTAAATGTGCCATGAAAGACTTTTCTAATATTCTTCATTAGGAACCCTAATGCTGTAGTTTTTGGTACATGGCTTCATTAAACAAGTGAGCAGCAAGGAAGAAATGTCTTGCATCTGTTCCTTTCTCTCTAATTTGGAACTGAGGTGACTCCTCTAGGGCTGAAGCAAGATCATAAGAATCAGAGATATGCTGAATGGCACATCCAGAGTTGCAGAGGAAAGTATTGCAAATTAGCGTATTTGAAAAGTTTTTCAAAGGTCAGTCTGTGTCGTTTCTTGTGGCCTGCTTAGAATGTGCCACCACGGATGGACTGAGCAGAACTTATTGTTGTGTATGCAATGAGAAGTTTCCAACTCACACCCACAGCCTTCCTTACTCCCACTTTCATATCTTGCTTTTCATTTAAAAAATGATTACTGTAAAGAAAACCTTACTATAATTTAATGCCAAGGATGTCTAATTTCTTCAAATTGGCGTAATATGCGTCATTTATATGCCTTACGATTTAATACCACCTACTCTAACACACTAATATTGTACTAATGAAAAGGAGACCTCTAATGCACCAGAATATTTTGTGTTAGCAAGTTAGTGGGTGATAATCACAGTTTATAATAATAATAATAATAAATGTGTTTTATTTTGACAAATATGTAGATTTTCCAATTTTCCCTAAAAAGTTCACTTTAATCCAACAAATGATTAGTACTTCTGATTCTATGTGCTATTTGCAAGTGGAATTCAATGCTAATAAAATATTTAAAAATAGATCTGCTTATAAAGAGATCTTATTTTCCAAGTTCTGAATATTAGAGAAACGGTCTAAGGCATTTTATATGCTAACAAATTAGGGAGTTTTAGATCAGAAATAAGAAAATTAAGATTACTATGCTGGAATAATGAGTAGAATATGTATGTATGAAATGTCTGTATTCATTATATGTGAAGAAGGAGCTGCCGTAAATTCTCAGGGAGTATCACACTGCAACTATGATGGACCTTACAGTTCTGGTATATTTATTAGAATTTGTCTATAAAATGTTGACTTACCATACATGTTACTTGCATAATTACTTTCCTTTGGAAGAGATTCTGTAAGGCACCTCACTGATAAATAATCATGAAGGCAAAAGAAATTCCATATCCCCCCAAAGGGTGTTTGTTCTTGGGACAAAGGCCAAGGGAAAAACAGACAAAATAATTAAGGTGACATGTACTCCTGGTTCAGATCAGCTTGTGATTAAATATTGTGGGTTATGAGGGAAAGAATATGAAACAAGAGGACTAGGAGATAAGATTAGAAAAGTAACCAAGAAATCAAAATTAACTTTGTGGCTTTCCTCCCAGGGAAGGTGGGAAAGCTGCACATTTGTTTTTCTTGTGCCTGGTAAAGCGGTGCTCACCAACATTGTGTGATTTGTGACACTCTACGATTTGTTGAACTTTTTCCTATTTCACCTCTCTTCATGACTACTGCTTTAAAAGGAAAGCGAATTAATTTCGGTTCTATTTGAAGGATTTGGTGAACATTTCCTGATAGTGCTTAAGGAACCTGGAGGCTCCCTGAATTGTTGTATAGAGCATTGGTTCTCAAACTTCAGCATGCTTTAGATTGCTGACCTTCAACCTCAGAGTTGCTGATATGGTAGGTCTGGGATGGGAATCTAGGATTTGCATTTCGCACAAGTTCCCAGGTTTTGCCGCTACTGCTGGTCTGGGAACCATACCCTGAGAGCCATGAGTTTAAAGGAAACTTTTCCTGGCCTCTTGCTCTGGGCGTTCTTGGGGATGAGTGCCCTCCTCATCAGGCAGTGCTATAAAACACTCCCAGCTGAACCAGGGGACTGCCTCCAGTCTCCGAGTCAGCCTGTCACCAAGGCTGATTCCGTTTTCCTGCACTTCAGCTCCACACAGCTCTTGGATCCTGACAATTTCCCTTAATTTAGGGTGTCTTACCTTCTTTCCACTCTGGGATTTAAGAGCTCCTGGCCTTTGTCAATTCATCTGGCTTCCAAACCAGCTTAGCTTGTCCCTGACGAGCAAATCTGCCTAATTCTAAGTCCCAGCTTGGTTCTAAACCAAAGTTTCCCAACATTTTTTGGTACGTGGTAAGTAGTTAGGTCCAAATAAGTTAATCATAGTAGTTGTGTAGTGTCAGTGAGTTCCCTGTGTACCTCAGTGCACAGATTGGGATTCACAGCTCTCTCTGCTGCTCCATCCCATCCACCTTTTTTCATTTCCACCATCCCAGGGGGACCCGTTTCTACAATTTTCTGCTACGCATGCCCCAGCACAAGACTCCCCAAACAAATCAAATCGATAGCAATATTTATATTTATTTTTGCAATGCCTTGGATAAAAACCATTTAAACAATGTTGGGTAAGGTGTTATTCTCATAAAAACATCTTCTTTCAAAACAAATGTATCTCTATTTTCCATAAAAGTTAGAGTTACATGCTAAAACAGATTTAATTACTGAGATAACATGAAAGGATATCAGGAGACTTGTAGAGTAAGACCAGATAATGAATTACATCATTATACTAAACAATTACACAGAACTAGAAAACTGACTCAGTAGTAAAATATAAAAAATCTACAATTATAAATATAAATTTGGTCCATGGAGACACTAGAGCAGTATTTACAGTAAGTATCAGATTATTTCTACTTTAGGTGAATACTGCAGTTGTAAAATGCTGAATATCAGAGGGAACAGAGTGTTTTATTTACAAGCTACTGTATTAAAAGTTTTATTTCTAGCAAACCCGATGATTGCTACAAATACAGCTAAAATTTGACACTAAAAACAAACATGTTTTATGTAGTTCGGAATTCCTAATAGCTATAAATTGAAATTTTCTGTTAAAATCAATACCAAAAAAACCCCACAATTCCATTCTTAGAAATACCGTAAAATTCAACCATTTTAGTTTAAACACAATAAGTGAATTACAAGAAGTTTTGCAGAAAGGCACACGTTGTTAATGATGTAAATTTGGCAGCAGAATCCTATGTCATGAAAATTACTGTCAAGTGATGGAATGTAAGCAAAAAGGTAACAGAAGAACTGAAGTGATTTTCCTGTCTAGTTTCAGAAAGAGGAAAACAATGCTCAGGTATGGATTCCCCTCACCCCTCTCTGTGCTAAACTAAAGACTCTAAGCTCTCGGCTATATTTCCATCGGGCAATGCTGCACCATTACTGTCCAGAGAGGTGGATGGATTCTCTTCCTGCCTCGTGCTCACAAGACTGAGGACCGCTTTGTAGAGAAACTGATACTGCTCCTGGAGGACAGAGAATGTGAGGTCATAAACAAGAAGCTCAGTGAAGATGGACATTTGTAAAAAGAAGTAATATTTTCAGTCATGCTTTGGCACTGGTCAGAGAAGGGCATTGTGTTAAGGGGTCTGTTATAGGCTGCGGAGGTACACAATCTATATTACTATCTCTTTCTGATGAAATTTAAAGTAGCTTTTCTAGTAGCCAACATTCATTGACCTAGAAAATTGACCAACATACTTTTGCCAATGGTAAGTGCTCCATTCTTACTCGTTTATATCATGGAATCAGAGGGTGATGTGACAGATTACTATTACTGATTTATCAACTTGCGTGTAATCCTTTGGTAGGAGGCAACCTATAAGCCACTCATGAATAATTACTCATTCTCCTTTCTCCAGCTGTGATGAAATCCATTGGGTTTCTCTGTTTATGGAGAGGTCCCAGAAAGGACAGCACTGTCAGCTCAGGGGCTCATGCAGAATCTTTTTTTACCAGATCCACTTTTTACCAAGTGTTCTTCACACCCTACCAGCCTGACTGGTCCTATGCCCTGCTTTGAGCAAAGGTGAGCATGGGCCCTGCTATGGTCTCAGAGTAGAGACACAGAAGAATAAAGAGTTCTCTTACAGGTGCCAATTTGGGTGGTAGTGGGGGGGGGGGGGGGGGACAAAGGCAGTTTCAGAGAATGTGAGCCAGTGACTGACATCACAGTGGAAAATCATTAGGCCCACACGTGAATCGGTGCATCATTCAATGCATCCATGAATCAGGTGAAAGTTCAATTTCTGGAAAACAATTTCACATAGGAGCAGCTTAATGTAACTCAACTGGCCTGAATGACTTTTAATAAGTGCTTCTCTGAAGTGCACATTTGCAAGGGTTACCTTACTTTCTGGACAACTGGTCTGGACTGAATGAAGCCTTAAAGATGGACCCTTACACATCCACAGACCAGGGAGCTGGAGGTGAGTCTATGACTACTATATCCACCTACAGGTCTCCCACTGGGGCATTTGCACGAAGATCCCTACTGTCTTTCCAGCCCTTGTTTCTATGATATTAAAAACTTCCAAATTATTTTCAGAGTTGAGACTTATCTCTCCAAATATGCTGTGCCTCTTTCTTGATTGTACAAGTTTCTCTTTTTAAAAGTACCCAGTTGGCTAATTGAACATAGAAAAAAAAAGATTCAGTAAAAATAAAAAAAATAAAAGTACCCAGGAATTACCCATTTGTTAAGTACCAAAATTGAATTCGGCTTCAGAAAAAAGTGAAGAGTTCCAACGTTGAAGTCTTCAAAATCTGTCTTCTGACTGTTCTCAGGCTATGCAGAACTTGAACCCCACCCCAAGATAACTATTTTGTGGGGTAAGTCGAATTAGTTGGTGCTTCTACTGAGGGTATTTTTCAGAATTGCAAAAAGAGACATGTGAAATTTAAAAAATTTTATCCATCAATTTTCTGGAAGATAAACTTTAAATGTATATTGTTTATTATTCCAGTTCCATAGATTGTGGACTGATTAACTTGTAATTCAGCTCGAATACTACATGGTAGTAATCTGTTATGAGTCAATGTGATTTTTTTTTTGATACATGATAAAATGATTTTGGCAGCCTTTAGGAAGTAAGCAGCACTCTAACAGTGAAAGTTTGGTTCGCTGTTCTTATACTTACAATGTCAGCAAAGACTCCTGGCCTCATCAAATTGATCATCTTGGCTACCTGGTAAACATCCATGGAATTTTCTTTTTCTAGTTGGTGCATAAGGGTTGTCAGAGCACAGAAAGTTCCTGCCGTCACTCCTCCATGCCTTGAAGCAAAGGGAAGGGACAAAGACTCCATTCAGATGCATCAAATATTCACATCTGGAACTCACAAAGCCTTGACAACTTTGTAGTGGGAACACAGAAATTTTTAATGAAATGTCTCTCTTTATGGTGTAGAGAACTATGGTTTAATTTGAAATATTAGCAAGTGTTCATGATATGAGTAATGGGATACTTTATAGAAGTTTAATGTTTGTTCATACATTTGTTATTTTTATACTCTGGAAGGGGCTGGTAATAAATCACAAAGATCTGACAAGTTATATCTAATATATAATGTATATATAACACACAATTCCAGCATATGCTTTTTTATTTGTTCATACAGGAGCCTGGAAAGATCTATTGGATAGATTCCTGTTCCTGGTAAAATAAAAACTGTATCAATTTTAATCCTATCCAGTGCATCAATAACTTAGAAATGTCTCTCTGGTTAGCACCTGTAAAAATTCAAGTGCCAAAACACTGACTCATCACACGAAGTGTTCTCAGCATACAATGCAAGAGCACATTCTTGTGATCAGGTACCCATCTTCTGCCTTCAACAGGAACTCCAAGAGAAATGAAAAAAAAAAAAACAACAACAACAAAAATGAATTCTGTATTAACCTTGTTTATAAAAAGCTGATGATCTCTCCTGGCTGAGTCACCACAACTGGTCCAAATCATGAGGTTAGTACAAAGAAAACAGAAATATCTGACCACCTGGAGAGTGCTCAGGCATGAAAGAGTTTAAAGAGAGGAACTTACTCATCATGGACAATCACAGGCCCATCCCTGTTGGCAGCTTCCTCTTTGATAATACTTATAAGTTCAAAAGTTTTACTAATGGGGCTATCTGGATTTGGCCATTTGGGGCACTGAAAATGCCTCACTTCAAGTACATAATCATCCTGTAAGAAGAGAGAAAAATTAATATTTTTAGAAGAGTCATATTGGTGAGTGACAGTTTATTACGAGTGGAGTAACTGGAAATCAGGAATTACAGGAAGGTAATAAAAACCAATCACATGCACGAGGGAACAGCGGTGGATGCAGTCCGTCCTCCTCTCGGAGGGAAGAAACTGCTGTGATGCCTCATTTCCCATGTGTAGATGTAATCTCCTTTTCACTCTAAAAATAATTCTTATTTGTGGGTTCATTATGGCAATCAAACTCTGAAACCATGTACCAAAGATGTCTCTGTGCCACTATTTAGTACAAAAAGACATCTTCAGTGTTAACATTTGTTTTTAAAAATAACAGACTTCTTCAAATACGAGCATTAATTGAGGGGAGAGTGGAATTACATGACAGGGCGGGGAAATGCTGGCAAAGGGAATGGACATTTAGTCTACTTCTGATTCTTGTGTAAGTGACCAGCCAGGCTGTGTGACTTTATATCCCTTAAACCTCTGACCCTCAGCTTCCTAAAGTGTCCTCAATCAAATGCTACATTGAAAAATAAGCAGCAGAACCTAAATTTTATATGGTTTATTCACTCTCAGAATTAGAGTATAGTAAAGTGCAACATTTAAATCATCTAAAACATGATTTAACCTTTCTCCGATTGGGGATGTACTTACTCTGCATCTCACATGCCTTACTCCCTATTATTAGTATCTGTTAGCATTTTACTGTAGCTGTATAACAAATTATGTACTGTACTGTAATTCTATAAATAATTCTTGACAAGGAATTCGGATTGCTGCCTTATAGATAACCAAGAATTAGCAAAACAATCCTAGTTCATTGTACTGCACATTTTCAAAGCACTTCTTCACTTATAACACATTGTCTCTTGGTAGATAGTGTGGTAAGCTCATTTTGGTAGATAACATTTTTCCTATTTTACCTAGAAGAATTCAAGGTAAAAATTTCCCTTAAAACATGAGAATTAGGATTAATGAAATTATTATTATTATTATTATTATTTTACTGAGTTTACTCTCAATTTAAGTTCTGTCAGAACTACTCTGGAGTAAGAGAAATCGTTGATTTCCTGTGTGTGAATGGTGTAGTTTAGTGGCGATTAAGGTTTAATGATTCTATAGGATTTTGAAAATGAAAGTGACTAGTAAGGTAAAACTGATTATTTGGGTAATCAGTCTTAATTTGTAAGAAATTAGGTTCCTTCTTTTTATTTCTAGGGAAGATCCTTAAATCAGCATATATTTAACATAACATGTGCTTAAGATGAAAAGTTTGTTATTTCAATTATGTCCATACCTGTGTAGCTTCTAAGATAAAATCTTGAATTATAAGTTTTTCTTCATTAGACAGACATTTGTGTTCTTCAGCCATAAGAGTGACCTTAAAACTCTCACAGTTTATAGGCTCATCTTTATTTGGCCAGTAAACAAACTCATCTTCTGCCTGGAGGATTAAATACCAAAGAAGTATGATTTTCATCAAATGCTTAATAAGTCAGACCGTGAAATGAAGTTAACTGGTTGACACAGAAAATTCAACTCAAATTTTTCTTTGGATCTCAAAACTTACTCTTAAAATATTGAGCCTTACACAAGTTTGATGTGTAGAATAAAGTATTACATTTAAGAAACCAAACTACTGCTTTGTTGTTTTGCTCTTAGCTCATCAGTAACAATGGTAAGTTGTTACTTCTGTAAATGATAACTGAGTAGAGAAGATTCAAGTGATTTTAAGAGCTCAGCAATTTCCAGTGTCATCTAGAATGGTCAGTCTAACTTTATAGCTAAGAAATAAATCTCCAAGTTAAGTATATGTGCAAAGCCTAAACAAAATAGGCCTTTTTTTTTTGTACTTCTATAGATCTCTTTAAACTGAGGGACTCTCCAAATATCCTAACGAGTTTTTTTTTTTTAAATGTAAATAGAAGCATATGGACTGACTTCATGGTTGAAATTCTGTTTTTCTTAAGCAGTATCACAGAATACTTAAATTTAAGTTCATTTTAACTTACTTTTATTTAAAACTGTCATTCAACAATGTCAGACCTGGGAGATGACATAACCAAATGAGGCCCAATAGTAGACAAGGTGCAACTCCCGTGACATTAGTTTATTAGTTGAAAAATAAATTACTTTATTTGTTGGTATGCTTGGACTTCTGGCTGTTGTGACTTGTTATCACCTATAACCCAAGTACCAAAAGTGACCGGGGATGGAGGGGCTTACCATGTTTTGACCATCAGGAAGCATAACTACCAGCTGGGCATTATGGTCCCATATCATCCTCCAGAAATCCTTGATGGTATGGAGAAGAGGATGCTGGGTAATGATGAATTCATTACTCTGATAGTAACCCTATGAAACCAAAGAGAAGATAGAAAGAGCCCCAACATATGACTTTAAATATTCCAAATACATGTCTAAGCTAATGGACCTTAAGTCAAGGCAGTCTTTTTATTTTTAGATTGTGTCTGTAAATAATAATGTGATCATTATAGCTGATGTTTACAAGGCACTCTCCATACACCAGACATAGGACTAGCGTTTTCTTCCCCCTAAGTCCCTTATGTCTCACAGAAGCACTATGCAACAGGAACTGTGATCCCCCTTTTTCAGATGATTAAACTGAGGCTTAAGAAGTTAAGTGTTGTGCCCAAGTCTACCTAGCTATCACGTCTAGGAGCAGACTTACCAAAATGGCACATGGACCACGTCTCCTACACTAGATAGAATGGAAATCCAGAGGGGAATTTATATTTCTCACTTTCCACAAGTCCCAATGCAAAGTGCCACATTTTACACCTACTGACAACAGAACACCCTTGGTGTCCAGACACCCTGGCTTCCTCCTTTGGAGAGGAATCAGGAGGCACTTTACAGATTTTGAGGCAGAAACCTGGAACCTGCAGCCATTGGATTGGTCATGATTTCCATGTTGCTGCTCACTAAAATCATGGCTTATTTATCCTCTTCTGCTCTGGGTCTCTCATCCTGTTCCTATTCCCCATGGGCTCATTTGATTCGGCATGTAATAAGATGCCACCACCACATATCTCCCTGTTTCCTGCATGAATAGTCCTAAATATTTTCTTTGCTGGATAAATGAAAAGTGGTTTTGGCATGGGAATTACAACCTTTTCATCTGAAGCCAAGCTCTCTATGATTGATAGACCTGAAATGGAAACGAGGGGCATAAAACAGCCAACTGTTTCTCATAGAAAATCTAAACACAGAAGGAAAGGATTATGTCTTTAGAAATCCAGGTCTCCAAATGAGCCCAGTTCACTGGGTCAACACTGCTGCAAACCTGGATTGGTAAACTCAGGGAGACGGGCTTTCCTGAAGCCACTGTGTCCTCGGCCTGTTCAGGGTAAATGAAATGGAGCCTCTTAGATGGCTGAGTGTATGCTTTCTATCTTCTCATCAGTCCTCAATGGTGAGTTCAGTTCCTGCATTTACTGATTTGTCTTGCTTGAGGGTTCTCCAGTCCCAGCACACATAAAAACATCAAGGAATGCTGTTATTCTATTTGCCCCAATGGGCCGCAGTCTGTGGTCATTAGATTTGGCTTCTACCCACCAGTGGTGCTAACCTATGTCTGCAGCCACTGCTTCAGGAAGCCCATGCTGGTTTTGGTTCTGGTAGCACAAGCTGGTAGGCAACTTTCCAGTGATTTCTCTGACTTACCATGATATAGGAGGCATTGATGTAGTCTGGGCCTTCCCCACTCAGAGATGAAATGCCAACCCTTGATCTTTCCACTGGAACACAGAACATTCATCATGAACCACCACGTTCACAGCTCTATACCCCTTCCTGCCCACCCCCACATTGCAAAGCATAGCTGCATGTCTCAAGTGGAGTGTCTTTGATCTGTAAGCTAGCTTTTCTATGTGTTTTGCATTTTTTAGATGGACTTCAGGATTTAAGAGTCCTTTTTAACAGGTACATTATCAGGCATAATTAGAAAAATACTGAGTGAATCAATTCATTCCAAGATGTAAAAATATTGTCATATTGCCTTCAAGGTTTCTATTATAAAAGAGGGTTTTGTTTTGTTTTTTTCATGATTCAGTGTAACCTACCAGGGATGATGGAAGAAGTTCTGTTCTTTTCCCTGTTGCATTGTTTTAGGGCTGTAGAATAGTCACTCTGTTGTATATTTGATTGACTCAGGAGCTGAGAAAGAGAGTCAAGGAAAAATATAGATTATGTAAGTCACCCAAACACACACACACACACACATACACACACACACACACACACACGACCCGACCAAGAAGCCAAGATAAGATACTGAATATACATATATCCGGTTTTCCAAGAATTACTTGAACTAACTCCCTGGCACATCTATGTTCTCTACACCAGGGGAGCTGGAAGAAGCACAGAATGTCTGTAGTTTGATGTTCAGCCCTGGGAGGATCTTCCCCATGGCTTCCTGTGTAGGTGTGCGCTCTCTATGTCTTCCACTTACATCTCACTCTGCAGCTGGGGGTAAATTGCATGGAATGCGTGTGTGTACATATATATGTATATGGTTGGATTTCATTCATTATTTTAGTACTCCATTTCACGAATAATCTACTTGCTATTTATTCCCCAGCTAGCGAATGTTAGGATTATTTCCAGTATTTTCCTTTTCTAAACTTTGTAGCAATGAATATCTCTTGTATGTTTCTTAATACCCACACATGGAATTAGGAGTCATCAGCATTTAATTTTTGACAGTCTGATAGATGATAAGTGGTAGACCATGGTTTTGACTTGCATTTCCTTAGTTACTATGAGATTGTGAATTGTAGCATTCATTAGCCATTTAGATTTCTTCTTTGATGATTGCCTTTTTATATTTCTACTTCACTATCATTTATTAATTTGTAGAGGGTTTTGACATCTTGAATGTAAATCTATAATCTGTTTAAAAAGTTGCTAAGGTCTTTGTTCTCTTTAATCACACAGACACTCACGGCCAACTAATTTTTTAAGATTTCTGCAAATTATGTCCTTTTCTATCCTGATGTCTTCAAAATATATATTGCTAATATTCTTATAATAGTTATAAAATCTTTTTGTCACCTTTAGGTACCTAATTCATCTTGAATAATTTTAGTGTTTGAGGTGTGGTAAGAATCCAATTTTACTTGTTTCCACATGGAAATTGTCCCAATTTCCTTTATTGGTTATTCGGTCCTTTCCTCATTGATTTGTGGTGTCCTATCTGCCTAATAACGCTTTCCACATATGCATGGTTCCTCTGGCTGATTTGTCTGTTTTTTAGTGTTAATGATAATATCTGCATAATAAATCTTCCATATACTGTACAACACATTTCTATTTTATTTTTTATTTTTAGTATTGCTTTGGATGACTTCGCTCTTTACTTTTCTAAATGTTAATTTTAAAATCAGTTCTTGATTTCCTATGACAAATCCTGGCAGAATGTGATTGGTACCACACTGATACTTAATTTAGGAGAACCAACATCTTCACAAATTTCCATTCAGGAAAATTGTATCTATATTTATTGGTCTAATTCTATGCTCTTCAATTCAGTTTTATAATTTTTTTTCTACACATTCATTGCACCATTTGTTAAGTTTATTTTTGAGACCATAGAGTTTTTGTTTCTGTTTGCTGTGGTTGTTGAATTGGCTGTTTTTGCTCTAATATCTTTTCTAACAATTGATAGCTAATGAGTTACAATGCTATTGATTTTCATATATACTTGTTGAACTGTAATAAGAGTTGAGTTCTAATAATAAATATTAGAACTTTTGTTTCTCTTGATGTTCTATATAGACAAGTGTATCATCTGCAAATTCTTTTCTACTTTTATACATTTTTTTGGTTTAACCTGATTTCCAGTAGAATGTTGACTAATAGTGTCAGCAGTTGACATTTCTTGTTTTTTCTTAAACCTATGAAAATTTCCAACTTTAAATTTTGTGTGTTACATTTATATTATATCCTCTGTAAGATGAAGAAAGCTTCCTTCTATTTCTAACTTACTAAGAGTTTTTGTTCTGAATAGTACTTAATTTTGTTTACTGATTTTTCTACATCTTTTGAGAGGGCCATACAATTCTCATAACTAAATTTGTTCATATTTTCTAATGTTAAATCATCACTTCATTCTTGAAACAAACTCTACAAACCCTAATTGGTCATAATATTTAAAAAGAAAAACACACTGCTGGATTTGAGTTGCTGATATATTTTTTAAAGATTTTATTTATTTTTTGAGAGAGAGAGAGCATTAGCAGGGGAGGGGGAGGGACCGGGGAGAAGCTGACTCCCCGCTGAGCAGGGAGCCCAATCTCAGGACCCTGGGATCATGACCTGAGCCAAAGGCAGACGCCTAACCAATTGAGCCACCCAGGCACCCCAATATTTTTAAATAGGATTTTAGCATTTAAGTTCATAAATGAAACTGACCTATACATTTCTTTATTTATACTATCTTTGTACAGTTTTGGTATCAAAGTTACACTTGTCCAGTAAAATAGTTGGGTTTGTTTTCTACCTAGATATTTTATCCTAGAGTTTGGAATTTTCTGTCCCTTAAAAGTTTGGTAATTCTTTCAGTTCTGATTTTATTTTGGAGGTGAGATTTTTGGTAACTGATAAAATTTATTTAATGGTTATTGGTCTAGCTGGATTTTTCATTTCTTTATAAGTGTATCTTGCTTACTTTTTCTTAAAAAAATTTCATTCATGTAGGTTTTCAAATGTATTGTCACAAATATGTTCATACTATGCTTTTTAAGTTAGAAAAAAAATTTCTAAAATATTTATAATTATATCCCTGTTTTTTATCTTAATATTTATTTCTGTATACTCTCTCTTCCCTTTTCTCACCAATCTGGGCACAGGTTTGTTTGTTTTATAGTCTTTGACAGAACCTGCATTTGGTTTTGTTTCATCTCCTTTTTTATTTAATTACTTTAACTTTCTATTTAATTTAAGAAAGCTTTAACTTGCTTAAAAATTTTCTGTCTCTGGGTGTTGAGTTTGATGAGTTCTTTATAGATTTTGGATACTAGCCCTTTATCTGAAACGACAGATGTTGGCGGGGATGCGGAGAAAGGGGAACCCTCCTACACTGTTGGTGGGAATGCAAGCTGGTGCAGCCACTCTGGAAAACTGTATGGAG